AAACCTTCTGTTTTTATCAGCAGCTGATGAAGGAGGAACATTAATGCACATGGCCTGTTTATGAGGAACAGAGCAGCTGATGGGATAAACTAAATCAACTCTTCTATAAACATACCTGCAGATCCGCGGCTCTATGTGGGTCTGATTCTTTCCATCCTGATCATCATGTTAGCAGCAGCTCTGCTCATCTTCTTCAAGTGGAAGAGCTTCAGTCAACAGAAAGGTGAGTTATATCATAATTAAAAAGTTTTACCTTCAACTGACCTATAAAAACACATGATGAGATTAAAGATGAAACTTTTCAATTCTTACAATTATAATTAGTAGTTCAAAATAATGAGCAGATTAATTTATTTTTATTAACATCACAGTAATTAAGCCCTTATTATAAATGCAAAGCAGCTTTTTTAAATAGTTAAACTGAGTCTCTGTGGTTGGAAGGCCTCTCTACCATCACCTTAATCTAGGGGTCATAAGGCTCTTTATTACTTTGGACAAAAACTGTTAAATACGAATTAACAACTTTAAATATAAAAACAATGCATTTTAACTTGAAGAGAGTCTGAAAGAGAAAGTATGCAATCAGAAAGATTTTATTGACATTGAAGTTAGTTCTTTGTTGCTCAGGCTCCGGCGGAAGACGCTGATGCTGTGAATAAACATTCGCTTGGATCAGTAATCTAGGATTAGAGTAGTGTTCTTCCCACAGCCCACAGTGGTGGTGCAAAACCACAGAGGATGAAAAAAGCCTAAGATTTAAGGAGGAAGTGGGGCGGAGGTGGGTGAAAGATCAGCTGACCTGCAGGAAGGAAGCTGGGCCAGAAGCTAAATGAAGGAGATGATGATTGGCTATGGAGGAGGCGCCGTCCTGACATTGATTGGATGAAGCTTGGAGCCAGGGGTATCAATTATTCTGGACGTAACTGAATCGAAAGAATCTATTTTTAGGTAATCATAGTAATTTGAATGTGGACGAATAAACAATATGTTCAAATAATTTTCATAAATATAATTCCCGCTTTAAAGCCAACAAATAAAAACTAATTTATTCTAAGGAGGATGAAGAGTTGCTGTGAGTGATGGAGAAAAACTTTTTTTTTTTTGATAATTCAACTATAGACTGGAGCTACAACCTCCATTTAACATTTTTTAAAATGTTATTTCGTTTTGTGCGCTTATTAGATCCAGTTTTTAGCATAAAGTGAGGAAGCCTGTCAAACTCTGATAAACTGAGGATCCTCAGTTCTTCATCATCAGACTGTAGCTGATCAGGTTCCTCCACACTGAAGGATCCTGTCATGATGGGTCTCTGAGTTTAAACCCACATGCAGAACACCACAGGAAACGGGGTAAAAGTTTAACAGTTTATTTGGGAGAAACACACAAGAGTATGAATGAGCAGGTTCTGGTACTGGTCCTGGACTGGAATCACAGAGTAATCTGCAGAGATGAATAGTTTGGTTAGCCAGGCAGCGGTGATGACTTGTCAGGGGTTTGATTCTGGTTTGTACCTTGATGAGGTTCAGATTGATCGATGGACAGAGGGAACCGGTTGGGTCCAGAGATGGTGGATTCAGCAGAGAACTCAGCAGCAGCAGCAGCAGCGTCTAGCTTCAGGCTAATCCGGTTCAGACCTTGAATTGATCTTCTAGTTCTCCCTTGAGAACTAGCTGGGGAATTCAGACTGATAGTCTTCAGGTTTGGCTTCCTTGGGCAGGCAGGCAGGTTTCCAAGCAAAAGCTCCTCCAGAGCTACAGACTTCAGTCTGGCTTTCCTGTGAGCAGAGAAGACAGAGGCTGGTTAGAATCAGGTTACTCTCTAGAGCAGACAGAGATTCTCAAAGTTAACTGAGGATCAGGTTCCGCTAACCAAAACTGGTCAACACTCCGGCGCCAAAGACAGGTCTGACTGCTGCTTATGTAGGAGGTCTCCTGATGGGCTGATGATCCTCAGGTGTGCTGGAGGCTCCCTGCCCAGGAGACCCACAGCGCTCTCTGCTGGAGACAGGTGGCAGATCTCCAGATCCCAACAGATCATCTAGAGCAGGCATCCCCAACCTCGGTCCCCGAGGCCCACTGTCCTGCAGCTTTTAGAGGTTTCCCTGCTTTAGCACAGCTGATTATAATGATTGCAATAGACCAAAAGCCTGTTAATCAGCTTTTAATTAAAAGCAGCTGTGCTGGAGCAAGGAAACCTCTAAAACCTGCAGGACAGCGGGCCTCAAGGACCGAGGTTGAGGTTGCCTAGTGCTCAGCTTCTACTGGGGAACTTGAAGCAAAAACACGTTTCGACACAGACTGTTACTCCATCATATCTGACACTGATGTAGATCCGATCAAAGAGGAAACATTAGTCTGCAAAAACTTTTCACAACAATTCAGACTGATCATTAGGCTCCACCTCTTTTATTGTGAAATATAAAATGTTGTGAAAGAGCTGAGCAGATGCTGAGGAGGTCAAGAGGAACCTGCTTTTATTTTCTCTCTGATGTCAGTGATAAGACTGACAGCATTTGTTATGATGATCTACATCATACAGCTCTATAACTTGTTGTCTGAAGACAGAATTCTCCCAGTTTAATAGACTGAAGACAATATTCTATAATTTCCTGAGTCTGAAGAGGTTCAAAATGACAATATTTGTTTTTAGAATAAAACTTAAGCTAAACAAGAAAAATGAAAGAAACTAATGAAATAAGATGACTAGCTCTGAAACTGTTGGATATGTAAAGATGTATAAAGTCTCTAAACGTATCGTACGGGTTTACTGCATACTAGATGTATGATGATGAAACACAGTGGTTAAACTTAAAGAATCAGTCAAAGCTGCTGCGGCTGATCCAAAATATAAATTTAACTTCTCTATAAATTCAGTAACTCCTTTAGTTTCTCTATAAAGTGTCGTCATGATTTAATTAAAGGTCTGACCCAAAATGCAGAAGACCAAACAGAGAGACCAGGGAAAATTTAACAGGTTTATTAAGAACATAAAGATGAGTCCAGTGCTGCTCTGAACAATGTAAAACCGGAACTAAAAAAAAGTGAGGGGAAGACACTGCGGTTAGTTCAGGCTCAGTGGGAAATTAGATTCTTTG